TAGGGTTTGAGTTTTTTTTTTTTTTTTTTGGAAAAACAAGCAGTTAGAAAACAAATAGAAAGTGCAAGTGACAGAGGGTTAAAAAAACGTGTAAATGTTCGGTGTCTCCATGGAGACGGTTGCTATGGGCTCTGAAGACAACTGTGTTACAGGTGACTCGCAACATGATGAAGGCATCTCTGACTCTTCCTCCCGGAGACATCTACAACCTGACCGTCTCCGCCTGCACCGAGAAGAGCCGCAACACGTCTGCGCCGCACATCATCAAACTCGGTCAGTGGCAGCGGATGGGTGCCGTCAGAACGAGAGCTGATAGAAACATCACAGTAATCCACAGCACTCCAGTCCATCAGTTAACATCTGGAGAAGACAAAAGCAGCTGAAACAAATCCAGCATTAAGACATATCTAACTCAAATACCATAGAGTCCATAATCCGTAATAACGCTTCCTCCAGTGAAAAAGTGCATCTCCTGTTGTCTCTCACATCAAAATCCAGCCACATACACTATATTGCCAAACGTATTGGGACAACCCCTTCTTTAGAACAGAAAAAGGCACTTCCAAAACTGTTTTATTTAAAAATCCATCTCTGTCGCAACAGTTTTGGAGGTGTCTAAAATGACGGCACCCATATGTACAAGTCACAGGTGTTTGCTGATGAGTTTTCGGCTCGAGGTCTGCATTTAAAGTCACAGCAGACCAAGTTCTTCCACACCGACTCAATCAATCATTTGAACCTTGCCTTATACACAGAGGCATCGTCATGTTAGAATAGAAAAGGCTCGTGTCCGAACTGTTGCAATAAAATTAGAAGCGCACAATTCCCTAGAATATCATTATATGCTTAAACATTAATATTTGCACTCATGGAAATGACTAAAGTAGTCAAACCTGTTCATTAGAAGCTACTTTTGGCAATATAGTGTATTTGTTTAGAGCTGTTTAAACGCTGCTTGAGCTGTGCAGATTTCTCTCCTGATTCAGAACTCTTTTTCACTGGAGGAAGCGTTATTATGGACTCGTATTTTAGTTAAAAACGTCTTGATGCTGGATTTGTTTCAGCTGCTTTTGTCTTCTCCAGATGTTAACTGATGGACTGGAGTGCTGTGGATTACTTGTGGATTATTGTGATGTTTTTATCAGCTCTCGATCTGACGGCACCCATCCACCGCAGAGCATCCATTGCTGAGACACTGATGCATTTCTCCAAATCTGACGAAGAAGCAATTCTCGGATAGCAACTATCTGGCTGTTGATTTAATGAATGTGAATCAGATCAGTTCGCACATTAAATCCCGAAGCAAAAGTAAAATCGCTGCTAGTTTACTGCTGAGAGTGTGCTTTCTGTTCTAATAATAACTCGTTTCGCTTTGACTTCCTGTTCAGAGCGTGTCAGGATTGTTGTGGCTGTTTGTTTCGTCTTCCTTTTTTATGCTGTTTTCTTGGAGGAGCTTGTAAGTAGTGTGGCGTTTGGCTGTTTTGCGAACAGAACCGGCTCCTCCGAAGTCTCTGTACGCACTAAACGCCACCGACACGGCCGTCACGCTGCTCTGGACGGAGGACGGCGTCGTGGACTTCTACCAGATCATCTGCAGACCGCTGCGAGTCAACAGAGAGAGCAAAGTAAGAGCTACTGATCAATATCATAACGACACACGTGTGTGCAAACATCTGGAGATGCAGATTGTGATGCGGTTTCTTAATGGTTTTGTGTTCGATGATAAAAACAGGAGAAATGTGTGCACGGCAATAATTTACATTCAGGTTTCATTTCAGTACACTGAGGATTAACATGAACATTAAACATCATAAACATAATTTTTATGAACTCACATTAACAAATTTAAATCAGTTGCTCGTTGTTCATTCATGTTAGTTAATGCAATGCAAACTGACATTAAAAACGAGCAATACATTTGTTACAGCATTTATTAATCTGTTTAATTCATCTTTAAATGGTTAATTGTTCATTAGCTGGTGTTAGCTCAGTTAAATAATATTGATATTATTAATAATGTTTGATTTTAATAATTTATGAATAAATGTTAAAGTTAACATCAAGAATAATAAATGCTTTAGAAGTGTTTTTCATTGTTAGTCAATGCATTAATTAATTAACATTAAAAATGAGCAAGACATTTGTTACAGGATTTACTAATAGTTGTTAGTTGAGCGAAATGTGTGCACGGCAATAATTTACATTCAGGTTTCATTTCAGTACACTGAGGATTAACATGAACATTAAACATCATAAACATAATTTTTATGAACTCACATTAACAAATTTAAATCAGTTGCTCGTTGTTCATTCATGTTAGTTAATGCAATGCAAACTGACATTAAAAACGAGCAATACATTTGTTACAGCATTTATTAATCTGTTTAATTCATCTTTAAATGGTTAATTGTTCATTAGCTGGTGTTAGCTCAGTTAAATAATATTGATATTATTAATAATGTTTGATTTTAATAATTTATGAATAAATGTTAAAGTTAACATCAAGAATAATAAATGCTTTAGAAGTGTTTTTCATTGTTAGTCAATGCATTAATTAATTAACATTAAAAATGAGCAAGACATTTGTTACAGGATTTACTAATCGTTGTTAGTTGAGCTGTTAGTTTATGTTAGCTCCGGTCCATTAAGTAATAACAGATACAACTTTTGAATTTAATGGTCTATTAGTAAGTGTTGAACTTTTTAACTAGAATGAATAAATGCTTTAGAATTATTTTTAATTGTCGGTGCATCTTAACTAATACAGCTAAACTAACAGTTATGTTAACTAATTAATTCTTCACATTCTGTAGTTTATGTTAGCTCAACAGATACATCTTTTGATTTTATTAACTCTTTCCCCGCCAGCGTTTTTGCTGATTTTCACTAAAATTTCATGGCCGCAAGAATATTGTGTTGTGTGAATATCTGAACACGCAATACATCAAATAAAGACCAGACCCTCTACTTTCAAACCAAAAAACCTGTTTAATTCTAGCGTCAAGCATTGTTTTTTTATCAACACTTGAATGTAGGTAGGTTTCATAAAAAAAGCAACATTTTGAGCAAATTGCATTTTTATCAAATACTGCATCTGGATCATATTCAGTAATATTTTCAAAGCAAAGATGCAGTAGATGGCTTCCATCAGCGCTCCCAAAGCTTGCACACTTTCTGGATCCACATTTCACTCGCTAACATCAGGCAGTTTTCATTTATACGCGGTTAGTGTTGATGATCGCATTATTTTTCATATTCATGCGCTTACATCTGAGATCGCTCGTTTCTGCGTCTTCCTCGCCTGTGTTTTTGATCGAGTGATTCTAGACTCATTCAGGAGATGCGTAATAGCGCCCCCTAGCGTATAACAGTGAAAACACGGAAAACATGGTGTTTGGAAGGGAAAGAGTAGGAACACAGCAGAACCGTGAATGAACAGCTGGTTTATTTGGTGTGTGTTTGTTTTGCTCCAGAAGGTGCGAGAGCCGCTGCTGACCACCGCTCATGTTGTGACCGTATCCGGACTCCAGCCGTCCACTTCATATAACTGTACCGTGATCAGCAGCAGCTACAGCAGCGTCAGTGACCCGGCGTACATCACCGTCAGCACGACCGGTGAGCAAACGCTTCCATCCCTCACTTACAGTCACGACAGCAGAATTAGTTTTACTTTACAGTTACATGGTTGCTACTGTAAATGAAAACAACAAAAATATGGTTATTTCTTCTACGGTAAGTTACTTGACAATTGCTGCCAGTTAATTACTGTGAATTCCACAGTCAGTTTCTTACAGTGCATCATCAAAGCGTTTTTAACTAAAATTATGAGTCCATAATCCTTAATAACTCTTCCTCCAGTGAAAAAGTGCATCTGCTGTTGTCTCTCACAACAAAATCCAGCCACATATTTGTTTAGAGCTGTTTAAATGCTGCTTGATCTGTGCAGATTTCTCTCCTGATTCACACCAGAACACTTTTTCACTGGAGGAAGCTCAAACACAAATGGAGAAGTTTAGCAGAAAGTTCACGACGCTCTTTTCCGTGGAATGGGTTGGACGCTCTAAAAATGATTTAAAAAAAAAAAAGCACCATAAAGTATCAAAACATTAGTCCATATGACACATGAAAACCTGCGCCGTTTGGCATCGCTGATATTCAGAAGTCGAAACATGAAAGATGCAATGCAATGAAGGGGATGATTTTTAGTGAGCAACATAACTAAATTTCAGTCTGTTTCTCAGAAAAAGCATCGTGTGAATTCAGAAGACTTGGAATATGGATAACTATTTTTGGGCATTTTTGGGGGTCAGAGCGTCTGTCTTCACCTATTTTCAATGCATGACAAACGGGCGAACAAACCATTTAAAACTGAAACCTTATTTCACAGTTTTACTTGAGCTTTAACACAATCATCAGTACGGACTGTGCTCGTCACGGATTTCTTGGCCAATCTCCGGTGATTCATGATCTCTTACGAAGCACTTCCCTCTCAGAGCCTGATGTCAACATGCTGTAAAAATATGGAACTGCTAATAACTGAAAGTCAGCGAGCTCATAAAAACAATCTTGTGATTCATTATGGGAACTTCCACTGCGGTGCGCACGTTTACGGCCGCTTGTTACGTGACCTCGTTATCAAAACACAACTGCAGCACGACAAAGACACAATCGCAGGAGGCCTGAAGTCCAAAGGCCTTTCAGCTGATCAAACTCAAGACAGCGATCAGCGTCACGTCACTCAGTGCAGATCTATCCGAGACGAACGCACAGATACACAAGCATAAATGAAGGGATTTAAACACAAGTGTCTAAATGTGCACACCTTCGGTTAAGTAAATGTCAAAATCAGCCTCTTTTATGTCAAAGGAACAGTCAAACCTGTTCTGCATTCTCTGTCTGATGTCTAACAATGACAATATGACATCTATCACCCACATACACCCAGCTATTCACTACAAACATTAACCGAAACAATTCCCTTCAGTAGGAAATGAATTAGCCCTGGGAAATGTCGGACTGCTTCTCGAGCACACAAACACGGCTCTGTAAACACAGCCAGTCAACACTTTTCAATAAGCTGAACCTCATCCGGCCGCTCTGGTGAGAACAGAGTCACCGTGAAACACACACTGCAGGCGCTGCACAGTTCAGCGGAAAATGACGGCTGGAGGTGAGAAACAAACACATTCATACCAGCGACTGGAGGAAAAACTGGCTTCCCCAGGAACAGATTGTGTTGCATGTCGCAACACTTCACTGCATCACACGCAGCAGCTCACTGCAAAACAAGCGGCGGCGCATGATTCTTCAGACACCTGGGCAGAGACTGGGTTTCCCATCTGCTGATCAGCGAGAAGTGAAAATCCTTTATTTGCATACGGCCTGATCACAGCTAACGAGCTGGTATTGTGCTGATAACTAGATAAACGCAATCTGCTAGAAACTCTAGAGCTGCTCTTATTCTGATTAGACTCTGCTGCTGCTTTAGTTCACACATCATCACTCGGTACTCAAGTTACCTCTAATAGTACTCAACACAATATACAATACTACAATATTAAAACACACGCAACCCTTCAATTATAGAGAATACTCTAAAATACTGCATATTCTAAAATACTCTGAAAATACTCAATGCTCTTAAAATACTGAATGTTAAAACAGAGTACTCTAAAAATACCAAATACGCTAAAATACTACTTACTCTTAAAAATACTGAATACTCGAAAAACCCCGCATAGTCTTAAAATGCTCTCTAAAATACGGAATAACCAAAAATACAGCATACTCAAATACATTATAAAATATTATTTTACGCAATACTGAAAACGCTAAAATTACTGAATACTCCTGAAATACGGAGCATTGTAAAATACTGAGTGCTATAAAATACTAAATATTCTTAAAATACTGAGTATTCTAAAACACAGCATACTCTTAAAATACACTCTAGAATATTGAATACTCAAAAAATACTGCATAGGCCTAATCTTAAAATACTGAATACTCCTAAAATACTAAGTATTCTAAATGACTGGATATTCTTAAAATACGTCATACTAAAAATACCACATACTCTTAAAATACACCCTAAAATATAGCATACTCCAAATTACTGCATACTGAATATACTACGTACTTTTGAAAGACAGAATACTCCTAAAATACTAAATTACTCTAAAAACACGGAATAACTCATCAGTAAATAGTTTTTCAGCTCGTGTCGGAAGTTTATTGATAGAGTTTTCAGTTCCAGTTGAACAGACTTTCTGCTTTAACTTTGATCGCGTTTTGGAACGTTTACTTTTAACGATCACCGTGCGTTGGCGTTTCTGAGCGACTTTAATTCGGTGTCCATGTGAGCGTTCCTCCGCGCTCCGGGAACAAAAGCTACTAAACTCCGCGAGCGTCGCGGGAAACTCACTCACGCACAGCGACGCACGCGAGCCCGCGTTACCGTGACGAAATATACTGCGGTTTGATCCGTGTTCTCACTGTATACTCACGGGCCAGCGAGCGGCGGGACGGATCGGTAAACACAGCCGTTCAGATCATCTTCATCCCCGCGCGCGTCGGCTGCTCATCTCGCGGTTGCTCCTCCAGCGCGGGCCCGGTCACACACAGCGGCAGCCGCGGGGGGACACGGAACCCACATTCAGCACAAAACACTCACAACACGCACTCTAAACACCTTCAACTGAGCGAAAACAAAATACACACTCATGTAAAACATCAGTTATGAATCCTGACGACGATACAGGCGTTTCTGATGAATATTTCAGTTTGAAATGAAGAGGCGTCACCCCCGCGGCTGAATGGACTCGCCCAACACCGCACACAATATACCGCATCACAACACAAACATACAAACACAGAAAGTTCGGCTCATCTATGATAAACTGCTCAATTAATTCAATTAGTTCACACTAAAACTATAACATCTGTCTAATGAAAGAATGGAAAACGGCATGGTCCTTTAATAAATTGCTAGTAGACACATACAATATACTCTGACTCTTGAAAGATATTGATATATGGATGCATAGTGGGTCTTATAACTGGTAAAACTCAATTTCACTGGTCCTGCAGTGTGATAAATGAATTCTGACACTCATTGGCTTTTATGATAATTATTTATGTCCAGTCCCGATCACAGGTTTATGGACAGAATAATCAGAATCTGGTGTCTAAATAGTCTTCCTTATTGATAAATAATCTCTAATAGCCCAAAGAAAGATCTGAACAGAATAAAACACACAAACATGTTGAATAAAAGGGGAAATGCTGCTCAATATGTAGGTTTCACTGTTGTTTGGAGGGTCTAAGGCTGATAATGAAGCTGGTGGAGTTGAGTTTTTGGAAAGTTCCACACGCTTTAAGGGTATTCTATAGTCTTTGGTGTTACTGGGTTTGGGTTTGTTGTGGAAAAACACATCCCTGAAGGACCGGAAACTGATTTGAGCTGCTGAGATCTGACTCCATCTACAGGAACATCTGGAAACTGCTGCAAGTGAAGATCAGAGCCAACGTACAGAATGAGTACAGAAATATTGGTGAAGAGAAACTAATGCAGCATGACAGACACGTGTTTAAATGTGAAGTGAACTCAAGCATTGTGTGTCTGCAGTAAATCAGCTTTCAGTTACGAGATCTCAGTGAAAAACAGACTGATGGCGGCTCATATACAGCTAGAGTTACAGCACACTGTCAGAGCGGGGCTAGTTGTCACAAGCGTCTCAGTAGGTTTAGATTTTCTCTAGCAGTGGTTTTGTATGTGGGTTTCAAACACCTCAAACTGGTCCTAAAGGCAATTAAACATGATCACATGTGAGGAGATAAAAAAAGAACAGACAGGCATCATAATGTTGATTTATCTGACAGAAACACACGTCAACAGTACAGCTATATTGTCAAAATGAAATGTTTTCGAGTGGAAATACAGTACAATGTATTACAGTACAGGTTTAGACATCACTGAATAATACACCATGTGCATAAGAAGTGCCCTGAAGACTCTTACAGTCCAACATCTAATCCTGAACAGAGGACAGACTCAAACCAGTTCCCAGTCGCACTGCAGTCACTGAATCTAAAGCTGGAGTTGTCCTCATGTGTTTATGTATATCACAGTCTCTGTCAGTGTTGTCGCTGATGTCAGCTCGGTGTGCTCTGCTTGTTTTCGCGCTCCGTCTCGTGACGCTCTTCGTTCTCCATGTAGGCCTGCACGGATCTCCAGAGCGCACGGATGTTCCCCTCGCCGAAGCCTGTGGCGCCTCTGCGCTCGATCAGCTCCAGGAAGAAGGTGTCCTCTCTGAAGATGGGCTTGGTGAACACCTGGAGCAGATACCTGTGAGAGCAGGAGAAACAGGGTGTGTGTCAGGCTCAATGCAGAAAACCATTTTCAAATCCTGTTCCTTCCTCCGCTGCCTCCAGTGAAAAAGTGCATCTCCTGTTGTCTCTCATATGTGTTTAGAGCTGTTTAAACGCTGCTTGATCTGTGCAGATTTCTCTCCTGATTCACACCAGAACACTTTTTCACTGGAGGAAGCGTTATTATGGATTATGGACTCGTATTTTAGTTAAAAACGTCTTAGTGCTGGATTTGTTTCAGCTTTTGTCTTCTCCAGATGTTAACTGATGGACTGGAGTGCTGTGGATTATTGTGAAGTTTTTATCAGCTGTTTGGACTCTCAGGACAGACAGACTCCAGACTCTACAGCACTTCTACAGCATTTCACACACTGAGCAGCTTCATATGGAAGCCCGTTTCTGCCACTGTATAAAAAAATAAAAAAAGGTAATTCAGACTTTTTTTCCAGAATTGCGTGACGAACTCACAACTGCGAGAAAAAGTCAGAATTGCGTGATATAAACTCGCAATATTGAGAAATAAAGCCAGAATTGCGAGATATATACTCACAATTCTGACTTTTTCTCATAATTGCAAGTTTATATCACGCAATTCTGAGAGAAGTCAGAATTGTGAGAAAAAGTCAGAATTGTGAGAAAAAGTCAGAATTGGAAGATATAAACTCGCAATTCCGAGAAATAAAATTGCAATTATTAGAAATAGTCATGATTGCGAGAAAACTCAGAATTGCAAGAAAAAAGTAAGAATTGCTTGATATGAACTCACAATCCTGAAAAATAAACCCAGAATTATGAGAAAAGTCAGAATTGGGAAAAAATAGTCAGAATTGCGAGAAAAGTCAGAATTGCGAAAAAATTGTCAGAATTGTGAGAAAAATCTGAATTGCGAAAAAATAGTCAGAATTGCGAGAAAAGTCAGAATTGTGAGAAAAGTCAGAATTGTGAGAAAAGTCAGAATTGCGAGAAAAGTCAGAATTGCGAGAAAAGTCAGTTGCGAAAAAATTGTCAGAATTGCGAGAAAAGTCAGAATTGCGAGAAAAGTCAGAATTGTGAGTAAAGTCAGAATTGTGAGAAAAGTCAGAATTGCGAAAAAATAGAATTGCGAGAAAAGTCAGAATTGCGAGAAAAATCAGAATTGTGAGAAAAGTCAGAATTGCGAGAAAAATAGTCAGAAGTGCGAGAAGAAAAGTCAGAATTGCGAGAAAAGTCAGAATTGCGAAAAAATAGTCAGAATTGCGAGAAAAGTCAGAATTGTGAGAAAAGTCAGAATTGTGAGAAAAGTTAGAATTGAGAAAAAATAGTCAGAATTGCGAGAAAAGTCAGAAGTGTGAGAAAAGTCAGAATTGGAAGATTTAAACTTGCAATTCCGAGAAAAAAATTGCAATTATTAGAAATAAAGTCATGATTGCGAGAAAAGTCAGAATTGTGAGAAAAAAAGTCAGAATTGCAAGATATAAACTTAAAATTTGCGAAATAAAATCACAATTATATTAGAAATAAGGTCAGAATTGCGAGAAAAGTCAAAATTGCAAGAAAAAAGTCAGAATTGTGAGAAAAGTCAGAATTGCGAGAAAAAAGTCAGAATTGGAAGATATAAACTCGCAATTCCGAGAAATAAAATTGTAATTATTAGAAATAAAGTCATGATTGCGAGAAAACTCAGAATTGTGAGAAAAAAAGTCAGAATTGCGAGAAAAAAGTCAGAATTGCGAGATATAAACATGCATTTCTGACTTTTTTCTGACATTATAACACGCAATTGTGAGAAAAAAGTTGCAGTTACCTTATTTTTTATTGAGTGGCGGAAATGGGCTTTCATAGTTTTGAGCTCTGATTTGCTACATAACGTCTTCTTTCAGACGAGTGAACTGAAAACATCTGACACACCCGCTGAAGTGTTTGTTTTATTCGGAGACAGTGAATGTAGCAGTAGTGTGTGTGTGTGTGTGTGTGTGTGTGCAGTGCGCGAGATGAACCCGAGTGTGGCGGCGATCTCGGCGCTGGCGGTTCTCAGCGTTCTGCTCATCATTCTGCTGGTGCTCTTCCTTCTGGTGCTGCGCAAGAAACACATGGAGCTGAGCCGGTGAGCAACATCTCACGCTAACGAGCTTCTAAGCCCGTTAGTGATCAGACTGATGGATGAAAATACACCACCAGTCCAAAGTTTCTGAACAGTGTTAAAGAAGTCTCTTCTGCTCACCAAGCCTGCATTTATTTGATCCAAAGTACAGCAAAAACAGTAATATTGTGAAATATTTTTATTATTTAAAATAACTGCTTTCAATTTTAATATATTTTAAAATGCAATTTATTTCTGTGATCAAAGCTGAATTTTCAGCATTCAGCAAGCCAGATTGATGAAACTAGTGCTACTTTTAAGTCAATTTTCTGAGCTTTCTGTCGATTTCAGGGAGTGCGGCGCTGAGACCTTCGTGAATTTCGCCTCTTTCGAGCGAGACGGGAAGCTGCCGTATAACTGGTAGGAGCTCCTGTGTTTCTCGCTGTCAATCAAACACACACACACACGCACAAATATGTATACTAATTCTAAATTAATACATAATAAAATTATTTAAAAATGTAAAATTATCAAAGTATAATTAAGTTTATACAATTCACATACAATATATACATATATATATATATATATATATATAGAGAGAGAGAGAGAGATCTACATTATTATATTAATACATATTTATTATAAACTAATATATAAATAAAATGATTTAAAATGTAAAAAAATACATTTAAGATTATTAAAATTCAGTTCAGTAGAACTGACTTCGAGTAAGCTGTTTTTTAGAATAGCACAAGAGTTTTAGATTTGTAGGGATGATATTAATTCATGTTTTCTGAGAAATGTATCAAGTTTTTGCTTAAAACAGGAACATGTGCCAGTGAGGTCAGAAAAATGATGAAAAGTGATTTTTCTGACCTCACTGGCACATATTTGTTCTCGTTTCATGCAAAAACTCGCTTCGTTTTGATGCATTTTTCCTTAAACCATATTTTAAGTCTTCGAATAACTGTATCATGCTTTCAGAATGTTTAGATGTTTGTTCTGGGAAATGATAAAGAGGCTGAGGTTTTGCATCAGCTTCGTGATCGAGGCATTAGAAGCAGAGAGGGTCTGGGTTGATTTGTGATCTCGGTGTGTTTCGGTGGTAATATCCGGCGTTAGCAATCACAGATTCACACATCATGAAGATGCCAAAGACACTGACTGCATGACGCGATCATTAACCTGTCAGACACTAATGAAATATGCTCAATCATCTGTGTGTGTCACTATTACTAATGGAGCACCATGTTTTGTCCCCAACTTTTTGCCCTTGGTCTTTTTTTATGTCTTTTGCTTTCTGTGGGCTTCAGGCGCAGGAGTCTCTTTGCGTTCCTCACGCTTCTGCCATCCTGCCTTTGGACTGACTATCTTTTGGCCTTTTATATTAATCCGTGGTAAGTAGCAGCGCGGCGTCCGGCGGCCGACGGACAGACAAACATTAAAATGCAATTTATTTCTGTGATCAAAGCTGAATTTTCAGCATTCAGCAAGCCAGATTGATGAAACTAGTGCTACTTTTAAGTCAATTTTCTGAGCTTTCTGTCGATTTCAGGGAGTGCGGCGCTGAGACCTTCGTGAATTTCGCCTCTTTCGAGCGAGACGGGAAGCTGCCGTATAACTGGTAGGAGCTCCTGTGTTTCTCGCTGTCAATCAAACACACACACACACGCACA